CATTGCTCAAAATGGCTCCTCAGACTCTCATCAGTTGTTTCAAAGCTCAGCCCTCCGATGAAGAGCTTCCGTAGTTGTTCGGGCTCCTTGGGAGACTCTGACTTAGACATGACGGCAGTCGGAAGAGAGCCTGATGATGCTTCCTCCGCGGTGTCCACCAGCAGAAAAGCTCACAGGATTTATTTGAAAAGTTGCCACTTTGAGAGAATGTGTATATACATGTAAATTTTCAGTTTTGTTTTCTCCAAAGATACTGTAGGAACCAAAGAAGATATGGGGTAGAAAATGTGGGTAGATTATAAGGAAGAACTAATTCAGCAGATCAAGTCAGATTTAAACATTTGGTTTTTTTTGTTTGTTTTTTTTTTTGTGTGTCCAGCTCAGCCTTCTCTGGGATCAGGGCTGGGTCCTTTCTCTTTAAGTGCTTGTTGGACTAAGGTTTGTGGGATTCATATTGGCTTGTATCTGAACAAAGTTCTTATGAATGATTAAGATAGTAACTTGCTGCATTAAAGTCTTCTGAAGTTAAGTCTCTGGTGTTTGGTATCTTACAGTATATATGAAATGGAGAGAATTATACTAGGTATTCCGTATGTTAAAGGGAATGTGCTGTGTGATTATTTTGTTACTCTTGATTATAATCATAGTTAGATACAGTTTACTTTTTGTTTCACAAGTTCTTAAAGAATTTGAGACTTTTACTCATTTCTACTCACTTGCCAACTTTGTCTCCATTAATATCTTTTAATTTGTTTTATAATACAATTTCTGGTTTGGATATTTGATTTCAGAAAGTTCCATTATGTAATAGAGCATATACATACTTTTTCCAAGTTAAATTTGTAACTACTCATTCACACAAATGCTTGTATTTCAGATGGAGCAACTATCAGATGAAGAAATTGACCATGGTGCTGAAGAAGACAGTGACAAAGAAGATCAAGACCTGGACAAAATGTTTGGAGCCTGGCTTGGGGAACTGGACAAACTCACACAGGTTAGTAGTAGTGCTTGAAAAATTGGTTAAGGATTTTAATTTATCACTGGGACTTTTGTTTTTTTAATCTTTTATTTATTTCAAGTTATCACTAAGAGATTCATTCATTCATTCATTCATTCATTCATTCATTCATTCATTTATTTGGTACAGGTTTTCACTATATAGCTTGGACTCATAGATCCTCCTGTCTCAGTCTTCCCAGTGCTGGGATTATAGGCATGAACCGCTACACCTGGTTTCAATGGCTGGTACAGCGTGCCTGGTATTCCAGGGCTGGCATGGCATGTGCTACTCTGGGGATTGAACCTGGATCGTTTTGCTTGCCAGGCAGGCATTTAGATGGCCAAGATATCTCTCCAGCCCCATATAATAGTTATATTAATTGAGGTTATTAGGTTGCTTTACATGGCATATCTTTTTACCTTCACCTTCTCCTTACACCTTACTTTCCCTTCAACCATTTCCCAATTGCAAGAGATCCTTCCCCTTTCCCCCTTTTATCCATCCTTTTCATTTCTTTTCTTTCCTTTCATTTCTTTCCTTGTTCTTTGCCTCACTCAAATGAGGGATATCATATGGTATTTCAGCTGGTTTATTTCATTCGTAGATTTTCCATGTACATCCATTTTCCTACCAGTGTCTCAGATCTGTCATTCTTTATAGCAGAGAAGTATTCCATTGTATACAGATACCACATGTTCTTCATCCAGTCATTTGTTGATGGATATACAGGCTGTTGCCAGGATTTAGCTATTATAAATTCTGCTGCTGTAAATATTGGTATGTAGGGGCCAGTGAGATAGCTCAGTGGTCTAAAGTGCCTACTTAGGCAAGCTTAGGCAAAGCACAGGGACCACAGTTCGATCCCTGGTGCAGCATGCCTCGCCAGCCCCACCCCTAGGGTGGACTTAGCCTGCCACAAAAAAAAAAAAAAAATTGGTATGCATATAGCCTGTAGTATGATATCTTAAGCTCTTTGAAGAAGACACCTAGCAGGGGATCACTATATCATATAAAATTTCTAATTTCAGTTCTTTGAGAAATTTCCATAGTGATTTCCATAATGGTTTTGCTAGTTTACATTCCCACCAACAATGAAGTAGGGTTCCCTTTTTTACCACAGCCTCACCAGTATTTGTTATTATTTGATTGTTTCATTATTGCCATTGTTTTGGAGTAAATTAGAATCTGTACTGTTTTAATTTGCATTTCTCTAATAGCCAAGGATTTTTTCATATATTTGTTGACCATTTACATTCTTCCTCTGTGAAGTGTCTCTTCATTTCTCTTGCTCATATCTTGGCTCGATCTTCTGTATTAGAAGGTTTAATTTTTTTTTTAAAGTTCTTTGTATATTCCAGATATTAGTTCTCTGTCTGAGGAGTAGCTAGCAAAATTTTTTTTCCCAGTCTGTAGGTTATCTCTTTACTCATTGATCCTTTTGCTGTACAGAAGCTTTTTTTAGGTTTGAAGTGCTTTACATATTTTTTTCTAGGAGGTATAATGTTTCTGTTTTAATGTTTGAGATCTTTGATCTATCTAATTCATACATGGTAAGAGAGAACATCCCCTGCTAGGTGTCTTCTAGTTCAGTATATGGTAAGAGAGAAGGGTCCAGTTTCAGTCTTCTGCAAGTAGCTTACCAGTTTACCCAACATAGCTTGTTGAATGGGCTTTTTCCTCCAACATATGCTTTTAACTTCTTTGTTGAATATCCAATAGCTGAAAGTGTTGTCTGGGGAAGTTTGTATATCCTGAGCTTGTTATTTTGTTCCTGGTATATTTTTGTTCTAGTACCATGCTGTTTTTATCACTATTACTTTGTAGTATATTTTGAAGTCAGGTATTGCTATGCCTCTTCCTTTGCTCTTATTGCCCAAAATTCCTTTTGCTATTCTAGGTCTCTTTTGGTTTCATGTTTTTCCTAGATCTGTAAAATATGATGGCATTTTGATTGAGACTGCAATGAATCTGTATAGCAGTTTTGGGAGTATGGCCATTTTGACATTATTGATTCTGGCTATCAAGACAGAGAACATCTTTCTACTTTTGATGTCCTCTTTAGTCTCCTTTGTCAGAGTATTGTAATTTTCTTTGCAGAGGTCTTTTGCTTCCTTGGTTAGGTTAATTCCTAGATATTTCATTTTTGTGGAAGCTACTTTGAATAACTGTTTCCATACTTCTCTCTAGTTCAAAGTTTTCTGGTAGAGTTCTTTGGTCTTCTATGTATAGTATGTCATCTGCAAATCATGACAATTTGAGTTCTTTCCTATGTGTAACTTTGTTTCCTTCTCTTCCCTAATTGTTCTGGCTAATGTTTGAGATACTGAAGAGGTGAGAGGGGACATTTTTGTCATTTTCCTGATTTCAAGGGAAATGCTTTCCATTTTCTACATTTAGTATGATACTGGTTATTGGTTTGTCATAAGTAGCATTTATTATATTCAGGTATGGGCCCATACCTGGTTTTTTTTTAGCATTTTTATCATAAAGAGGTGATGGATATCCTTAAAAGCATTTTCTGCCTTTGTTGATATGTTCACATGGTTTTTGATCTTGCTGTTGTCTGTGTGATGCATTATATTTATTGGCTTACATATATTTAACCATCCTTGTATCTCTAGACTGAAGCCTACTTGATAGGATGTATGATGATCTTTTAATAATGTGCTACATCCTGTTTGCTAATATCTTATTGAAGATTTTTGCATCTATTTTCATTAACGAGTTTGGCCTGTAGTTTTCTTTTTCAGTTGGGTCTTTTTCCTGGTTTGGGAATCAGTTTAACACTGGCTTCCATAAATGAGTTTAGGATCACTCCATCCCTTTCAATTACTTTTAAGGGCTTGAGGAGTATTGGTGATAAAACATCCTTAAAGATTTTATATAATTCCATAATAAACCCATTTGTTCCTGGTCTTTTTAAATTGATAGATCTTTTATTGTCTCAATTTCATTATTGTTATTGTGTTGTTAAGTATATTTATGTGTTCTTGGGTTACTTTTGGTAATTTGTATGTGCCTAGGAATCTGTACAATTCTCCAAAATGTGCTAATTTGCTGAAATACATTTTTTTCATTAGTTCCTATCTTCAGAATTTTAACAGTATTTGTTATGATTTCACCTTTTTCATTTCTAATTGTATTGACACTGGTCTTTTTTGGCCTACTCTTTGAAAGTCTGGCTAAGTGTGATGGTGGATTTGTCAGACAGGTTCACTGGCACAGAATTGTCCACTGAGTTGGGATTATTTTGATGCAATCAAATCATCCACAGTAGTAACAGGTTAATCCATTACAGTGGTGTCTGTCAGGGCTAGTTGAGAAATAACCTAACATGAGACCCTGTTTTGGGGCTCCCTTAACCTAGTGAAGAAATCCACAGGTATAGTCCAGTAAATGCACCATAGCAACTCAAGTCTTGACCCACAGTTCATGTGCACTAAATGCAATGGCTGCATCTCTTTCAAATTTCTTGCATGCCTGACTGTGATATGTCTCTGTTCACATTGGAAGTCTAAGTTCTGAAAGACTAGAAGTCTCTGTTTACACTGCTCCCAGATAGTGCTGGATATAGAGATCTACTTACAGTGAGAGCATGGGCCCAATGTGAGCATCCAGTCCTGTGTACTTTAGGTTGAAGCTGGCCTCTTGACTTCAGGGTCCAGGCCTGTGTTAACTAGCCTCTTACAGGGTTCATCCCTAATCTGCTCTCCATCTGCCAGCAGTCTCCTATGACTGTCCTTCTTGAACCCACCCTAAGAACTGGGCAATGTGAAGCAGCTAGGATGCTGCACTAGGATCCAGGTTCAGGCACCAGCTGTTCCCTACAAAGGTGTCCCCGCCAGTTCTTCCTCTGCAGTTGTGGCTGTGGGTGCTGAACCAAGGATACTCATCAACTGTTGACTGTAGAAGACCACTCTGGAAACAGTGTCCCAAATTTTTGGTTCCAACTGCCAGTGATTCTTTTGATCCCATTGCAGTTCTGTTGTGGTTCTCTGTGAGCAAAAAGTTATTAGTGTTAGTTTCAGTTTGCCTCCTGGTTGGCTGTCTCTCTTGAAAGCATAGTCTATTTCTTCTGATAATAGGTGATAATCCTGTTTCCTCCTCTCTCAGCTCCCTGGTGGTTCCCAGGTAACCTCCAGTCATTTCAGTTCCTCTCTAAGCTACTGTTTTTGTAGACACTTTGTCCTGGAAGAGCTGAGTTGCTGGCAATCACTGGTCTGCCATTTTGAAACTTCTGTCACTGAGTTTTACAAGCCTAATGTGCAGAAAAAAAGATAAGGATACAGGTTAAATTTTTAAATACCCAAGAGACTATGCTGTACAGTTATTCTGAGGATGTTTTTAAAAGAATTCTGTAACAGAAATTCTGTTCATCTAGTCTTAAAATTTATCTTATAATTCTATACTTAGTAAATTTAATCTTTTTTTTTGCAGTGTCAGGGATTGAACTCAGGACCTTGCCCTTGACAGACAAGTGCTTATTCTACTGAGCTATCTCCCAGGCCCAGGCTTAAATTTAAATAATTTTATGACATACTTTCCTCACATGATTTTTCTATTGAGTATTTTCAGAATAGTAACAGAATTTCATTCCTAGATGCATTTAAAACAGTGGCAAAGTTTTTTTTTTTTCATTTTGCTTTGTTGGATCTTGGGTTTTAAAAATAATGATGACCTTTATCTTCTAAACTGAAATACTTGATTTAGGATGAAAAAATATAATTTTTATTCCTCTAATTGAAACTTCATATGTATATTCAATTTGTGAAAATGGTAACATTTATTAAATAAATTTAGTTTCATGACAATGAGAACATCAGGATAAAAGTTATACTTAATTATCTTTAGGAATGCATAAGTATGAAATTCCTAACAGAAAAATAAGGCAATATGGTAGAATTTGAAAGTACTAGCTTGTTTCTGCACCTGTAGATCATTTTGAAAGACAGATAGTGTGGCCGTGATCTGTTAATGATAAATATTAACTAAGCCTTCATATGGATCACTCCTTTCATCTCTAATCAAAAGTAGCATTACTTTTCATCAGGAATGTCTTCGTAGTCAGCAAATCATTCCCATTTAATTCTTTAATTTTTTTTTTTTTTTTGAAACTGAAGCGCTTATTCTACTGAGCCATCTCCCCAGCCCTATATTTTTTTTATACAGTCAGTTTTGACATAGAGATGATGACCAGGCTATGCAGTTTTATGCTTGGGTGAAAGAAAAAAAAGGAAACGGAAAATCAAAGTATGTGAAGAAAAGTATGCAAGAGCCATTGATATGTGGGATTTCTCTGAAGTGATGGTTTAATTGTCCATGCCTGGAAGAGGGCAAAAAAGAGAATAGACAGGTATCAGTCCAGCTGCTGTAGATGGAGTAGGAACTCCTGCTGCTCCACTGAGAATGGCATTTTTCTGGTTGGGTGCCATGTATTTCCTTCTATGCTTATGCCAGACATAAATGTGAAGTGCCACACCCATCAGAAAAGTTGGCTCCTAATTTCTACTGTTCTGAAAGGAACAGTTAATACTTAGATTTATTTTTTCTTTCTTTCTTTTTTTTTGGTATTTAATATAGGGTCTACAGGGTCTCACTACGTGAGTTGAACTCGTAGTGATCCCCCTGTTTACAGCCTCCCAAGTGCTGGGATTACAGGTGCTCACCACCATGCTCAGGCTCAGTTGCCATCTCAGCACGCCCCAGGAGCGGGGTCAGCATGGCAGGCCTGGGAAGATTGAACCCCTGGCCCCTGAGTTTGCCTAAGCAGATGCTTTAATCTGCTGAGCTATTTAGCCGGCCCTTAGATTTATTTTTTCTTTATAATTTTTTTTGACCAAATTTTTTTTTTTTTTGACCAATTTTGCATGGTCGTTTCTGGTAACATGAACACTTAATTTGAAGACAGCGACAGTAAAAAAAGATGAGAAAACTTCCAAGTCACCTGACCTTAAGTGTAAGTCTAGCTTTGTCACAGGTAGAAGGGTTTGTGCTCATCTTGTTAGAGATCGAAAGAACAAGAATGTTCCCTCATTGTTTGAAGTTGTAATTGCTCTTTGCTAAGTTCGTGAATCTTGGTAATTTTGAATCCAGAATTGTTCCTTATCTCTAGGTTGTTTCATGCCAAAGAATGAAGCTATCCCAGACCAAAACACCTCTCCTTGAGGACAGAGATAACAGAACTCTCTGCATAGTTCTTTTCTGTTTCTTAGATTACCATGACTATACTTAGTTTATTTTACAGAAAATTTATAAGACCAATTACTAAACTCGATGTGTTTATATTTACTCTGAATAGTGACAGTCTTAGGTTCCTTAAAAGTAAGGATAGATCTAAAAATTGAATTAATGATAGTGAAAATACTGGATACTTTTACTTAAGGCTATTACTTAAACTTTAGTTTCAAAAAAAAAAAACTTTAGTTGCATTGTAAGTGAAGCTTGAATTTAATATGACTTACTAAATTTTCTTTCAGAGTTTGGATTCTGACAAGCCTGTAGAACCAGTGAAAAGATCTCCTCTTCGCCAGGAAACAAACATGGCCAATTTTTCTTACCGTTTCTCTATATACAACTTGAATGGTAAGATGTAATTAAGTAAAGTATACAGTAGTGTATTAATTTATATAATGTAGGAACAATGACACTATTATAATTTCAAAACCTATATGCATAACTTGACTGAGTTCTCTGTTTTTTCATTTGTACATGTTACTAATTCAGATTGTCACAGAAAAGAGAAAACTGGACCATAATACAGTTTCCTGATTTTTTTTAAATAGTTGACAAAATATGTACTCAAGTGGGATGTCATAGCAAATTTGATGTCATTGTTTTCTCACTGGGTTTGAGTTTATTGAAATTAGTTAATAATAATTTTATAATCAGCCCTGTGGCTAAAATAATGTACTCCACCTAATCAGCTTTATAGTGTTTGGAATTAACATTCCAGTATGTATTTTTTAGACTTGGCCTTCTCTTTTTATACCCATAGCTCTTTTGATACTAATATCCATACCCAGCCATTGACCATACTAATAGCTTATTAAAACCTATAGTTAAAACATTGCATGGGGAACATGGTATGGAATGGTATAGTATTAAGTTTGTACTTAATTGTACTTTTTTGGCCTTTGAATTCATAACTTTACTTTCATTTATACCAGTGATCTTAAAAGACGTTTTATTTACTTATAAAAATTTCCATTGGAATTTGAAACAAAACTGTTAGAATGGGGCTGGGGAGATGGCTCAGGGAATAAGCACTTCCCTGGCAAGTGCAAGGGCCTGAGTTCAATCCCCGGTTCCACCAAAAAAAAAAAAAAAAAAAAACTGTTAGAAGCATTTCATTTGATTGGCTTTAGGCCCAGTGGGATGAATTCTTTTGCTTCTTCTTCTGCATTTACTTAACTCAGATTAAATGTGTAAATCGTTGTTATGGTGTTCCAGAAGCATGTGTTGCTCTTTGCAGAAGCTCTGAATCAAGGAGAGACTGTGGATCTGGATGCACTGATGGCCGATCTTTGCTCTATAGAGCAGGAGCTCAGCAGTATTGGTTCAGGAAGTAGTAAGCGACAAATCACAGAAACAAAAACTACTCAGAAGTTAGCTGTTAACCGACATCCATCAAAACACGGTACTTTGAAAGGACTGTCTTCTTCATCTAATAGGATAGCTAAGCCTTCCCATGCTAACTACTCCCTGGATGATATCACTGCACAGTTAGAACAGGCCTCCTTGAGCATGGATGAGGCTGCTCAGCAGTCTGTGCTGGAAGACATTAAACCCATGGTAACCAATCAGCACCGAAGAACCGCGTCTGCGGGCACAGTGAGCGATGCTGAAGTGCGCTCAATTAGTAACTCCTCTCGCTCTAGTGTCACTTCTGCAGCCTCCAGCATGGACTCTTTGGATATTGATAAAGTTATGCGACCTCAGGAACTGGATTTAACACATCAGGGGCAGCCAATTGCTGAGGTAAAAAGATGGCATTTTTTTCTCTCTTGTTATTTTAATATTAAGTAGGGGGAAATGATTTTTTGTTGCTTTTATAGTTAAAATTTGTAAGAAATACTTTTGATCTTTTAAAATCAGACTACACATGGTGGTGTCACAAAGATAATTAGGAAAGGTTTAGTTTTATTTTTATTATTATTTTGACTTTTGGGAAGTCCTTGAATTAACATCAGTTATTTCAGATGATTTAAAAATTGAAATTTGCAAAGCTATTAATTGCTACTGAGCTAATAGTAATTGTTTTTAAAGTACATTTTAAAATGAGAACATAGGAAAAGCACTTATAGTCTCATTATAGATCTTTAGAATTCTGATTTGAAACTGGGTGTGGCAGTGCACACCTGTAATCCCAGCACCTAGAGGCTGAGACAGGAGAATTGTCTTAAGTTTGAGGCCAGCTTGGGCTACATAGTGTGTTCCAGACCAGACTAAACTACATTGCAAGACTTTGTCTCCAAAATACCCCAAGAAAATAGGTGCTAGCTTTCACAGTTTATACCATTCTGTCACCAGAATCAGTGCACAATAGTGGAAAGAGTTACTGGGCTCAGAAATCTATGTGTTTTTTCTTTGCCACTCATGGAGCCTAAGTGAGTTGTTCAACCACTCCCAATGTGAATTTCTTATAAGACAAGTAGTTTTATCTCTGGTTCAATTTGTCCTATATGCCTTATAGAGTAGTCCAGACTATCAGATGGGATGTATGGGAACAGACTTTTAAAAGTTGCTCTGAGTGTGATGGAATAAGGGTAGAAAATGGATTTGTAATGTAGGTTTAACAAGGGCTGAATTTGATGAAAGAGAATTCTTCATTGAGTTCTTTTCACTAAGTAAGTAATTTTATTATAGGATAGTACCCACAAAAGAGAAAATGGGGCAAAATAAAGAGCATTTTCAGTGTACTTGTGTTTACATACTATCTAGTTATTTCAGTAGAGTAAAAGAATGTGTGAATAATCAGTAGAAAAATCTATGAGTAAAAGAATCTATGAATAATATAAAATGTAAAACATTTAAGGAATTAACAAAGAAATTTATACCTATTTGATTATTGATTTTTTTCTCTTTCCAATTGATTTAATTATTTAGATTAGTTTATATCAATTGCTGTTGCTTTTACTTACGATGTTTGTTTGATTCTGTAGAATACAATGAAACATTAATCAATGTGATTTAGAGATGAACTTGAATATTATTGCAAAGAAAGTTAGCAAATCATTTCACTCTTTAAAAGTTTCATTTATTTAAAATTAAACTTTATAGCCGGCCAAATAGCTCAGCCCTGCCTCCGGGGTGCCCTGAGACAGCAGTTGAGACTGGTCGTGATGGTGTGCACCTGTAATCCCAGCACTTGGCGGCTGTAAACAGGAGAATCACTTTAAATCCAATCTAGTAGTAAGACCCTGAATACCTCGTAGACTCTTCCCTAAAATGCTAAATAAATAAATAAATAAAATTAAACCTTACCCAAGTGATATATAGATATTCTATATGTTAAAAACTGCATTCTGTGGATTTTTTCATTGCTTAGTGTTCATGGGGCCTAAACAAGTTATTTAATCTCTCTAAATATCAATTTCTCATTAAAAAATGTAGTTATGTGGTCTACTTTCTGTATATGGTAGTTCAAAGAACCATATCAATCTTAAAAATAGGAGAAACCTGACTTCTATTTTATGACACTTGAGAATTATGTTTTATACCAGCTACTTAGTTTTTATGTCTTTCAGCTATACCTGCTGGGGTTTGAGCAGTACTTTATTAAAGATGTATGCTCACTGTCATTCTGTCATGTATGTTAATATGACTTTCTGTGAGGTTATTCTGAGTTAAGTCAGAGTGTCTGGGGATAGGTTGTGAACTAGTAAGGCTATTCAGAAGTGTGTGTGTCTGTGTCAGTGACTGTCTTTACACTCATGAAAGTTCAGGTAATATAAGGACAAACAAAGGGAAAAGTCCCTGTCTCCTAGCAAACTATAGAAATTATATCTAGTGATATACATAGGCAAGGGTACCAGTATTTGGGAGTACAGTGTTTTTTATACTTTTAATGTAAGGTTTGGTGCGTTTCTTAGCTCCTATCCCATCACCATGAACATTTGGCTCGCTGTTTTGGTACATGGCTACCTACTTCCAAGGGATAAACAAGATGGCAGGGGGCATAGTGGAGGAAAAGTATTCAACTCATCAACCCATGGCAGCTAGGAAACAGAGAAGGCAGGAGCCAGTTACAAGAATGTACTCTTGCAGGTCATGCTCCCAGAGACTCACCTCCTAACCACACACCAGGGTACTGAATTTATTAATGGGTGAATGTACTGATAAGTATAGTATCTCTGTAATCTGATCATATTTCAAACATGAGGCTTCAGGGAATACTTTAGATCTAAACCATTACAGTAACTAAACCAGGGATAAAATAGATAAGTGTTCTAAAATCTTATCTGTCCTGTTCTTTTACTTTACCTCCAGTTTTAAAAAAATAGTTTAACAAGCTTTAAATTCGCTTCAGTATGCCTTTTTGTGGGTCTAATTAAAATTAAGTAAACTGGGATAAGCTCAGTAGATCCCAAACCAAAGTATAAGTTATTCTTAAAATTGAGTAGTTTTCAAAAATTAATTTTTCATTCATAGATTAAAAAACTACTTGAAGAGTCAAATAGTTCTAATTTCATAAAACTATACACATCATATTCTTTTCCCGAAAATAAACACTTTCTACCTTTTCAACTAATTTTCATGGTATTTACTTCCATGTCATTAAATTCACTGTTTTTTGATTTTTTTTTCCTCATTGTATTGTCTGCTGCCTTCTCACTCTGGGAGATGAGGACTTCACAGTCTTTGTAGACCACTCCTTCACTTCTTCCCTCCTGTTTCCACATACTCTCAATATATTGTTTTCTTGGAGCTTATACAGTGTTTATGATGTAATGACTATGTACTTATAGTTTGCGACTAACCTCTATAGTCTTACTACATTTTCTCTCTGGTACATCAGCTTGCTTCTTTTTAAGTTTCCACATTGGGATGAGTTCTTAATTGTTTTTTCTCTTAGGCTGGTGACCTGCAAGAAAGATTATTTCAGTCCCTTGCATGGAGGGCTTATATATTATTGCCATTATCTAAGCAACTCACTTGGTTAGGAAACTTTTTTTTTTTTTTTTTTTGCGGAACTGGGGATTGAACTCAGGCCCTTGCACTTCCCAGGGAAGTGCTTATTCTACTGAGCTATCTCTGGCCCCTAAGCAGCTCACTTGGGGCAAAAGTGTTGGATTTAGGAGATGGCTTACGTTCAGAATTTGAATTTCATTTAATGCTTCTAGGTCAGGATTTTTCTGGCGTTACTATTATTGACAGTTTGAGCTTGATGGTTTTCAGTAGTGAATAGCTGGCCTGTGATCTCGAGGATATTTAGTAGCACCCCTGGTCTCTACTCTGTAGGTGCCAGTGTAAGGCAGGAGTTTTGCTGAATTCATGGCTAACCTGGGCTACATAAATGAATGCAAGGCCAGTCTGAACTACCTAGTGAGACCTTTTCTCAAAAGCAAGGAAGGAAAGAAGGAAGGAAGCAAGCAAGGAAGATATTTCTTGAATGTTAAAAAAGTATTTCAGGGCCTGGTGAGATGGCTCAGTGGTCTAAAGCACCTACTTAGAACAAGCTTAGCAAAGCACAGGGACCGCGGTTCAATCCCCCAGCACCACATGCCAGCCAGCCCCGCCCCCTGGTGGGCTGAGCTGGCCACACACACACACACACACACGAATAAAATTTAAAAATAAAAATAAAAATAAATTTCAGCATTAAAATTCTCCTTAGAGACACATAAAATCAATCATACAATAATTTAGTGTTTTAAGTTCATCAACAGCAATAATCAGTTGCTAGGTTTTAAAAATTAGAATTCATTGTAGTTAAAATACTAACATAGTCTGTTTCTCAACCTGTGTGAAATGTATTTTTCATTTCATGGCCTTATTGTATCTCATTCATGTTAATTAGTAAAATATTTCAGTAAGAAAAGTTTGTGAATTTAAGTGATAATAATTGCATGTTATAAATTTTCTGTAAAATAAGATTTACCTTTATTTTCTGGTGGCATTTAACTTAATTATTCCCTTGAATTCAGAATTTTACATATGAAAATATTATTTTTAAATGAAAATACTAGCCAGATATGATGGTACACATCTAGCACTTGGGAGGCTGAGGCAGGAGGATCACTGACTGGGTGTGGTGGTGCATGCCTGTAATCCCAGTGCTTTGGAGCCTGAAAACAGGAGATTCACTATGAGTCTGATCTACATAGTAAGATCCTGTAGACCCTGTCCTAAATACATTTTTTTTAAAAAAGAAGGAAAATACTTTTTAAAGTTTTTTGTGTAGTTAATCGTAGATTTCAAAGGTTTTACTGAATAAACTTAATAAAATAAAATTTTGATTTATTTTATTGAGCTGATTGCCTGATTGAGCTATTAAAACTTAAAATTTGTGACTCATAAATGGCTTTTAAAATTTTTAGTATACAACACAGCAACTCATAACAAGTGAAATCCTAATTTCCTTTCATTATTTCAAGAACTAATTTGTGAAGAAATTTAGAGGTAATGGAAAGTAAAAAGTAATTATATTTTGTAGCATTTGGAATATGATCTCACTGGCATCAAGGCTCCAGATTAGCTGTTCATTTCCTATTTATTGTAGCTACCATTCTCATAAAATTGTAGTATTGCACTGAAATGTATTCACATGGTGTCAAATCCAGTATCACATTGGTGTCAAATCCAGTATCATTGACCTAGTGAGGCTTAATAACAAAATGAATAGCTGTCAGATTAAAGAATATTATGAAGGTTTGGTTAAAGTCTGAAGAAGGGCCAGTGAGATAGCTCAGCAGGCTAAGTGCCTGCCTTGGCAAGTGCAGGGACCAGGGTTCCATCCACAGTCCAACTCTGCCCCCAGGACGCACTGAGCCAGCAACAGAGTCCAGACATGGTGGCAGACGCCTGTAATCCCAGCACTGGGGAAACTGATAACAGGAGGATCACCATGAGCCCGACCTGTGTAGTGAGACCCTATACCAAATACACAAAATGAAAAAATTTTTAAAAATGTCTGAAGTCTAGTTCACATAAACATTTTTCAAACACTCTCTCATAGTCAACACTGGCATACATGCCCTGTTTCTTGGTGTATGTTTTGGAAATCTCTGGGTTTTGTCTTTGCAAAAGTAAAAATGTCCTTATTTGGTTTTTGATCCATTTTATTTTTTCTGTTTTGATATGGGTTTGTGGAGGACCAGTAAGAGACTTTTTTAAACAAGTGTAGAAATATACTCATCAGTTTTAAAAGTTAATACAAGCTAAAAAAAGATAAAGGAAATGGTTTGAAGAGCATTTGAACATTTATTGACTACATAATGACCAGTAAAAGGAGAAAAAAATAATAAAAGCTGCTGTATTGAATGCTTGTTCTTAGGCATTGTGCTCTGCATGTCTCATTGTACTTACTCTGCATGACACCCTGTGGAATGAGTACCTTACCCCTATTTTACAGTAAAAGGAGCAGAGGCAGAGGGTGACTCATCACCTGCACAAAGACTTGAGCCCAGTCTACCTGAACTCAAAGGAAGGGGACTCAAGCCAAGAGTAGACTGGCCCGTGCTCACAAAGCCAGAACTAGACAGACATAGTCAGGAGGGGAAAAGCCAGAGATTCATGCAGTGACATCCCCATCTGGTGGTGGTTTAGTATATTTTTGAATATTTTCAATAAAGTTTAACAACTCCAAATGAAATTAAGCCTTAAAATACAAATGACTGACAGTTTTCTATTCTTAGAATAATGTAAGAAAATTACGATTCTTAAAGAAACCTTTGGAGGCCTGCCCATTAGCTCAGTTGCTTAAGTGCCTGCTTAAGCGAAGGCAGCTTCAGGATGCTGTGGTTTGATCCCCAGATCCTTCTGCCTTACCAGACCTGCCCTAAAGGTATCCTGAGCGAACAAAAAAAACAAAACAAAACCAAAAAAAAGCCTTTGGTGATAAATGCTGATTTTAATCTTCATTTTATACTTAAGGAAATGGGTTAAATAAGAAGTCCCGAAGCACAACGCTAGTAAATGGTCTAGCTGGGCTTAAACACAGGCACTGTGGCCCGGGGATCTGCACTCTTCATTATCATGCTATGGTTATTTTCTCAATGTAATACTTGTGCAAAATACATGCATATCACAGTAAAAAATAAGTACATATCTATTGTAGTGAAAGATGGGTTCATGTGTTTTCTTCTAAAGAAGCAACAAAAGTATTTGCTGTCATGTGTGTTTTATTTGTGAGCACTACTCTGGTGCAAGGCAATTTCTTGATAAAGATTTGTCTCGTGGGTGTAGATTAATGCATTTCAATACATGTGCTTTCACTCTTATCCCAAGGACTTTGGCTTGCAAATGGTACTTCAGTTAGCAGTGGAAAGTGTTTAAAAAAATCAATAGAGGATGATAACTTTATAATGCAAATGAAAGTTTCAGAAAATGAGGAAGTTTAAAACATCAGCCCTTAATTTATGTTTCCTACATAATTTGAGCACAACTTTTAGATTTATGTAAGTAATGACAAAGAGAAGGTAAGGTTTAATTTGAGGTAATGTTTCAGTAAGAAACTATTTAAGTACTTTGTGGAAATGGAACCTGGTTAACATTAAACAAACTTTATTTTGTAATCCCATTCTTTTTTTTTGTTTTGTTTTTTTGTTTTTTTGTTTGTTTTTGTTTTGTTTTGTTTTGTTTTTGTATTTTTAGGGAAGGGTCTACAGGGTGTTCAGGCACTACTAGATTGGACTCATGGTCCGCCTGTTTACAGCCTCCCAAGAGCTATGATTACAGTCACGTGCCACCATGCCCAGTCTCAATTGCCTTCTCAGCGTGTCCCGGGGATCCAACCCCTGACCCCTGTGCCTGCTTGCAGGTGCTTTAATCCACTGAGCGATTTGGCTGGCCCTAAAAGTTGAGAAGGATTGTGTGTGTGTGTGTGTGTGTGTGTGTGTGTGTGCGTGCGTGCGTGTAGCTGACTCAGGCAGCCTTAAGGGCGGGTCTGGTAAGGCATGTCATGTTGAGGATCCAACTAAGGTATCCTTGTATCTGACTGCATTTGCATAAGCAGGTGCTTAAATAACTGAGCTAACTGGCAGGCCCCCTTGTTCATTTTTGTTAACGTGACAATATAAATTGATTTTAAATTTGTGTCTGTTTGCTATTTTGTCACTTCGTGTATTCATTCATTCTTTACAAGGATGTTGTGCCTTAATAATCATGTGTTGTTCTGTCATACTGTTCGATATGATACACAGTCATCTTTTGAATACTTTAGTTTTTTTAAAAAAAATTAACCAGTAAACATTTGGAAATGTGTAATGGGAACTTATACATGATTAAGTATAGATAAAATTATTTTTTAAACTTTATTGTGAAATTGTCAAGTACATAGAACTGGGGAAATTCACTGACCAGATTTGCTAATTGTTCTGCCTGTTCTATATCATTTGCCATTCTTTGGAAGCACATACACTTTTTTTTTTCCTCTGAGCCATTTGCAAGTTGATTGCATTTGTCATGTTTCGTTGTCCCTTAATGCCTGCGTTTCTGTTTCCTAAAATCAAGGATATTGGCAATATAGATTTAATGGGCCTCTTGTTGATCTAATTATTGTGGGAGTGCTGTGGAACATATTTAATGAGAAACTATATAGATGGAAAAGCAGAAGCAGTCTTGATCTTACCTAGCATGTGGCATGAACATTGTTTATATATTCATAAATATTTGAGTGCCCAGGCACTGCCCTGGGCCATAAGGGATAAAGCTGATTATAATGCACAGTTCCTTATGAAGTTAACTGTAGGCTATGAAATGAAAGCATATAGAATAAACCACTAACAAGTAATGGCAGTTTGATGTGCAAACACTATGACTGGAAGACAGAAAACTTTGAAGTTAAAAGGTGACTTTGACAATGAATTACAGAATGCATTGCAACTCGATGAGTTCTGAGAGAATTAAGGAATTAGGGGCTAGGAAATGGGCCAGCTATACAGAATGAATTGAGGAAATTTGGTAGCACCAAGGAGAAAGTAACAGTCTAACAAAAGAAAAGTACCTAGAACAGTTTTCTACTTGCAATTGGCTGGTCTGGTTGAGTATCAAAGACAAGATATTAGAGGAGGAATGAATGGGATCTGACACATGTTTAGTGTTGAAGGGGGGAAGGGACTATTTATTTACATAGCACTAGAGGGAGGAATGAAAAATAATCTGGATTTAGTCACAAGATATGCTTTAGTGAGGAAGATCTTAATAATGGGTGGGGTTGTTTTGGTTTTGGTAATTGAGGAGAAAGTATGATTGTGTGAAAGAGAAAGAGAGGAAAAGCTGGAAGCTTGTAGAGCATGGAAACTTAGAACCAGTGTTTGAAGGTGATTGGCCTAGTGAAGCAAAGAGACTGAATATTGGCAAGCAGTAGTCAAAAATAAGATGGGTTTGCATTGGACACAGTGTTTCCAAGTTGTTCTTCCATGTAGCTGTACTATAAAGAAGTAGAATGAGGCTACTAAAAGTATTAAACATTACAATCATCTGATTTGTACTTAATTTTTATATAAAACTATGAAATGTTATTGCATGCAACTTTTCATTACTGTTTTGTTTCCGTGGTCTTTTTTCTCTTCCTGCATGTTACAGAGAACTGCCCTTTTCACTTCCTTTACCTGTCATATTCTCCCTTCCTCCATTTTCACAGCATGCTATTTCTCTGAGATGTCCCAGCAAGCAGGCCCAGCGTCATATTGACTTGACAGAAGAACAGGCTGAGCTGACACCTGTAAGTTCTGTAAACATGTTATAGGACTGCTTAAATATCAGTGAGGAAGAATACATTCAGTGAAGCCACATGATAAACCTTGTCATACAATCTGTTTTTTATATCAGAATTAAACCAAGCTTAAGGGAATGGGCCAAATAAGCAACTTTATGATAGAGTTCCAGTGTTCATGGTAAATTACAGGTGGTACTGTGTCCAATACAGAAGATTTTATATTAAAACCTGAAACCATATTTTGTTATCTTGAAGCTAGAGGCTTTTATCAGTTTCTTAAGATAGTAACACATTTTACTGTACTTTAGGAGGGAATTACCAAATGGGATTATTCTTCTGCCCTGAATGTTTTACTGAAAATGTAGTTTTCTTCAAAAATGTGTTCTCTAGTCAGTGGTTGATAAATGTGGGTCTGCAGAGCTGCATAGCCCTTACAGCAGCCACTAGGCACATATTGGCTATTTCATAGCTAAAATGTGGCTAAACCAAATTGAGGTGTGCTACACAGATGGAACATAAGCTGGATTTTGAAGACAAAAATAATATAAAAATACTTCATTAATTTTTGTAGTTACCACTCAGATTGTTTTAAATGTTCTTGGTTACATAAAAGATATGATTACTTCAGTGTTTTCTCTTTACACTTTTAAAAATGAATGTGGCTACTCTAAAACTTTGAATTACATTTGTGGCTTGCTGGCATTATATTTCCATTGGACAATTGCTGCCTTACAGTTATCTGGGAAGCATAAGGGAAAAGCCTCTAACTCTCTAAACCCCATTCTCTCTCATTTCCTACCCTTTATCATAACCCTCTAATAGGTTATATCCTGCTGAGTGAAAAACACTTCACCTTCATTTTCAGCTGCTTCTCCAATGCCCTTAATTATTAGCCACACTTGCAGTAATATGTATGTACCTTCTTGTTTCTTCTGTCCTTGCAGCAGTACTTAATCCTTTTAGATCTAATGCCCCCTTTTTATAATAATTTATAACACCATCTTTACTATCCCAAATTTATAGTTAATATAGCCTGCCTGCATACATATTTTTGTGAGTGAATACAATGCCCTCATTCCCAATATGAAGGAGAAATTATTCTTTTTAATTTATAATAAAAAGATATCTTTTAGTATGTTTATGCTTGGCATGCTATTAAAAATATATTTTTAAAAATAGTCATGAACATTTTATAATAACTTTGTCTGGGCCTACTGATACACACCTGTATTCCTAGCACTTTTGGAAGGCTGACATAGGCAAATTATAAAATCAAGACCCCCCTCACTTAGTGAGATAAATAGGGCCTAGGATGTAGCTGAGTGTGAAGACCCTAGGTTCAGTCCTTAGTAGTACAATAAAAAAGAACTTTGGATTTAAGTGAAGTAAGAATATCAGAAGTGTGTGTGGGTTGGTTGGTTGGTTGGTTGGTTGGTTGGTTGGTTGGTTTCAAATAAAGAAGCCAGACATAGTGACACATTCTTGTACTCTGGGAGGCTGTGCAGGAGGATCACCATTCCAAGCCCAGCCTGCCAAGTTAACAACTTAAATCTTATCTCACAACTTTTAAAAATACTAAAAAGGAGAAAAGGGGCTGGAGAGGTAGCTCAATTTGAAGGCCCTATGTTTAATCCTCAGTGAATGATCCCCAGAATTAAAATGTGTTTTTGGGGCTGGAGAGATGGCTCAGTGGTCTAAAGCACCTACTTAGAACAAGCTTGGCAAGGCATCAGGGACCGCGGTTCAATCCCCCAGCA